TCCAAGGTCTCTTACGAAGCATCAATCTTGACGGGCTCTCACGTGATAAAATGGCAACGATTAAGCACAATGCAAAGTCGTGTCAAAATGTTTGGAGATTTCACGATAACGACTGCTCAGTGTGCCATGCTGCGGTCCGTAACGCTCCACCTGTGAACACAAACACGCTCGCGACTTCCACCCCCCCCACCCCCCCCAGTTGTTGCGGAAACTAAGAAGCGTTCGAGGAAAATGGAGCGGTTGCTGCTGCTGCTGCACACAACCAGAGCGTGCAATAAACACATTAAAGCGGTGAACCCAAGCGCCCGTGTTTCTCAGCCGCAGGGTTACACCTGCTTCGCTGAAATGCAAATTTACAAAAGTTCGACTATAAATAGAATGTAAATGCAGAGTTGCGGACAAGTGCACACATGCAGCAAGTCATGTGTGGTTGGCAGCCACCTACAATGATTTAATTAGTCGCACGACTTGCATTGACAATGGGCATAGGGGCTGATGCCTTTAAAAAAAAGTAATGAAATAGGAAACAAAACCAACGGCGACAACTATCTTTTCGGAATAACCATTTTATTGGTTTTTCAAGTGAGCGAGCAAATTGGCAGTGCGTGTACGAAGCTGCTGCTGCCCTGGATTTCTACTGCAGCTTCCCTAGATTTCTACTGCCACGAAATAAAACCAGACAGGGACCTATATATACGGCCCCGGAGAGCCAGCAGACAGGACACTTGCAACAAACACGCGGGCCCTATCTGTTAGCGCCAGTATTGAGCCGACGCTATTTACTCTACAAGAGTATCTTTTTTATTTATAAAAGGAGGCGTGTGTTTGTGAACAGGGTTTCTAATACTCTCATTGTCAAAGTATCTTGTTCCATATTACTCAACATTCCGGCGTGCTCCCGATTGTCTCCATGGCATCCCTTATCTTATCCCACTTACTCTGATTGCCAGGGTCTGGGAGGATCAGACATTTGCTGTTCTACCTTGACACAGGCTTGTGCCTCTCGACTCTGAACGCACTTGACTTCTGCGGTTGCAGAGTCAGGGCTTTTTGGTCCACACACACGCGCGCACGTAACGCTTGTGCTACTGCCCTGCCATCTTCACGTGGTCCACCAATCCCAGACCGCGGGTGGCGGGGACGGGATGCTGGAGGCTTGTCGACACACGCCCGGTCATGCGTGGCCCCGCCGTCACGACGGTTCTCGGATTAATTCTTTTTTTCAGTCACTGAGACCCACGGCCGTGAGGCAGAGTGCGTGGGTGCAGCAAGGGTTTGTACCCCATACGAATGAGGATGCGTCTCCCCCCACCCGCCCCCCCCCTCCTCTCCCCGATGAACGCTCAGCCCAATCACGGGTTACAAGTGGCATTCGGTCCTGAATTTCAGACAGCGGTGGGGCAATCTAACTCCTCAGACGGCACAGGGCAATTATAAATGTGGTTATTTTTAAAAGCCAAATAAAACCTACGCCTCCTCTTGCCGCTGCTCCTCGTTTAGGCAGAGCCCACGCGCTAAATGACGGCAGCCTTAACGAGAGCAGCCTTTCTCATTATTAACTACATTTAAGCGAACACATCAGTGATGAAGTAAGGAATTAAGGGACTGCGCGTCGGCTGTGGTGCACGAGCACGTACCCAAAAAAAATCCACCACGTTCATCTTCAACGCTGTCCTAGCACAGAATACTGTACAGCACTGTATACTGTATATATGCACATAAGGCTAATGTTTGACTCGAGAGCACCACCACTGCCTAAAACATTTGCACATTTCATGGATTCTGTTACAAGCAAGTGTTAATGTTTAAGCGGAGTTTTTTTTTTAATTCGCGCAAATCAGGTTATTTATAAATTCCGTGTATTGATAATATACGGAAATGTCACAATATTGTATGCAAGCAAACAAAAATGAATTGATGCCCCCCCCCCTCCCTGCATCCACAGTAGCCCCCATACTTTACCGCTTTCTCTCCCCATCTATTCCCCCCCTCCCTTCTCCAGCTCTCACCGCCCCCGCCGGCTCCCCATCAGTGCCTCCCTGCAGCATGTGCCTTGCGTCGATGACATCACCCCATGGGCAGGCACGTACGCAACCCGCTACAGCCTCCTCCTCCTCCTCCTCGCCGTCCTCCGCACGTGCCGCGCACGGGGCCCTACAGATATTTATCTGCGACATGTTCACAATAATTCCTCCCAAACCGCCCCCTATACCACAAAGCGCCGCCCCCCCCCCTCTCCACCTCCCACAATTGGAGCACCAACCTCCTCCCGCCGTCGATCATTCGTGCCCCATTTTGCACCCTCTCCCTTTAAAAGAAAGTATGGAAAAAAATGTTTCTCCCTCAAATCCCAGTAGGGTCCTCTCGCTCGACAAATCGATCGCGCTTTGTTTCACACAAATCCCGTCCACCTTGACACTGCGGAATTGGAATGCGATGCAAAATTGGAATAATTGGGACTCGAGCTCAAGTGCCAATCAGATCGGCGGGCCCGAGGATGCACGCCGATAACGCCGGTTGCCCCCCCCCCCCCCCCCCCCCCGACGGGCGAGGGGCTGCAGTTTGCGTGCGAAGAAACCCGTTGGAAACAGCACGGGGGTGGGGTGTGGGGAGCGGACGACGAGATGGAGATGCACGGAGGAGGGAGAAAGGCGAAAGATGATGAGGGTGGTGCGGGTGTGGAGAAGTGAGGACCAGTGTGCGAAAGGGTGAGGGGGAGAAAAATCACTCGAAGTGAAAGAGTAAAAATTTGACATTGCGCTACAGAGGCTCATCCCATGTTAACAAAACGCATGCTTTATCGGGCCTGATGCAAACAGGAATAGGAAAAAAGCTCTGCGCGATAGGAATATCGCAGGCGAAGGCCGGAAGACCCGCTTCGTGCTGCCAGGCGCCACATTCGCGTTACTATAATGCCTTAGAATTCCCAAACAAATCCGGCTCAAGTTGAAGGGCGCCAATTACCGAATTCAGCGCGATATATTTCCCCACGCGCCACAAAACGGCCTCCGGGCTGGCCATTGTGCACTGCGGCTGCTCGTAAAGAGGAGCTGAAAGGGTGCATTCGAGTGCACTAATGTCTCCAGTTTGTGCTCGTGGAGCCTCGGATGACCAGCGCGCCCCCTGCACCCCCCCCCCCAACCCCCAAACCCACACCACCTCCTCACTGCAACCTTCAACCCCTACAGGGACGGCACGAGCGGGCGGATGCTTTGCAGCGAAAATAGAGCCCACGACTTGTCGCGTTGGCAAGGCGAACGATCATCGGGTGCCACTCAACACAGGGCAGGGAGATGCCACTTTCCGTCACTATGGCGTCTCAGGATCGCGACAGGGCCTGCCCTTGTCTCCCCGCCGTGCCCGCGCGGGTATTTATAACCGTACGCCGGCAAAGAAACGGGTCAAATTATGCAAACCGCGGCAGGCCCCATTGTTTACGTCTGGCCGAGAGCTAGCTTGTGCCGAACACAGGTCACCGCCGCATCTGCCTTAAAGGATTGCTTGCCACTCAGCCTTTCCCACCACCCACCCCCGTCCCTCAAAAGCTCAACCCCTCGCTCCCAACCCCTGCCAATTAACAAAACAGCTGTTTCTGCCCTCCTCTCCCTTGGCAGTCGCAGGGGACATGCGTGCACATTCAGACGAGGCAGGGATAGGCAGCCAGACTGAAGTATTCGAGACAGACGAGGGACATGCAAGGGATGCCAGCCTTCTGTGTAAACAGGCAGGAGACAGACATGCAGACAGCCAGCTCAGGGCCCTTGGATATAGACATAGAGAAGGGGGAAACAAACAAAGCAGAGATGCTTGGTTGTTGAAAGGGGGGGGGGGGGAAGAAAATGGGTACAACTGACAAGGATGTTCTCGACAGTGAAATACAAACCCGCATCCTTACTCGGACACATGATCAGCAGGCCGGACGTGGACAAGACGCGCAGAAAACAGCGAGACAGAAAAAAACACGAAAGAAGGGAGACAGAGGTGGGACACTCAAAGACGAACAAGGCTGACGAGATGGAGACAGGCCAAAAAGTGGGGAGTAAGAGACGTTGAGGAGGAGGAGGAAAAAAAACTAATAAATCATGGTCAGCAGCACGCAAGGCCTCATAAATCATTGTGGAGCGTGCGAGAGGCCGGCCTGATATCAGCAATGACTTGCTGACCCCCGCGACCCTTTTCCTGGTGCCCGCACGCACATACGCGCTGCACGCGCAGCGTTCCAATGAAAGATTTTCCTTTAATCCCGTCCCCAGCACCGCACCAATGCCCTCTCCCCGATTACAGTCGCCCAATGCCTCTCCCAGCAGCCAAAGCACCCACCACACAGATGCAACAAAAAGAACAAACGCACTGCAAACACCTAAAAAATACACGGGCAAAGTAACGATTCTGCATGGCTGCGATTCGACGAATGGCCACGGTTCAGGGTCACGATTTAATTGACGAATTGATTTTGTATTTGCCCTCATGGTACATCTATAAATATATCGAATCAATAGCGACATATGATTTGTAGAGGCGCATGAGAATTGAAAATAACACATTTTCACAAGCAATCCTTAATGCATGCCCTTAAGGTTATAAGAGTCGATCTTAGTTGAAGAATCATTACGTACATACTAACGTGGATTTGTCAAGATTTTTGTGGAAATTTGCTAAGCGAGTTGGGGTTACGGCGCAGCGACTTGAGAGGACAGGTGGCGATCAAACGATCAAAGCCACCGACCCTCCCACGCGGTCGCAAAACTAGCGGCCATAGCACGGCCTACACACAAAGGGCGGTGCTCAAATCCACGCGGACCGTCCGATACTTTAACGAGGTAATTACACGCTGCCGTTGTTGTGGCCACAAGAGCAGCCGCTGGACCTATTAGGGGACGGGATGCGACGTGCTGGGATGTGGACACAGGGTGGTGGTGGTGCTGGAATGCTCGGGCGTGCGTCGGGAGTGGGAAGTCGGGAATGGGAAGGAGGGCGGCACGGTGGGTGGCAGCTGTTACCTGGAGCAGCTGGTGTCTCCTCGTGTTCACATGACCGGATGAGGGCCTCCAGGATGCGCGCCGGATGGTCGGCCTTGGACTCGTCGCTGTCGGGTGGACCGGGCAGTGGAGGATGAGGAGGTTGATGGGGGTGCACACGAGTTTGCACGTATTCACACACATGGGCACGCACACACACACGCACACACAGGGGCACGCATGCACAGGGAGGGAAAAAACACATGTAATTCCGTGTTGCCAAAGATTACTGTACATCACCGAAATCTTTCAGTTGTTTAAGTTTGTATTTTCTTGCTACTCGAAGGAGATTTGAAGGTAATGCGTTGCCATTAAGTTGCTCCGCTGTATCAGATTGAAGAGGCAAAACAGTTTACAAATAAATAATGCAGAATCATGAAAAATTTATGAAAAATATATCAGTGCAAGTTGGCAGCAATTGCATTGTCAGAAGTCACATGTATGTATGTTATAAATGATGACGTTTGTTCAGAAATACAGGTAAGTGCACCCTTATTTAATTTTTACCTGTAACTCGGACAGAATGCAGTGACAATTGAGACAAGAAAGTGACAATGGGCCATTAACAAGACACCGATTCTCAGCCTGTGTTAGTCACCGTGGGCCCAATATGGAACATTACGTGGGGGATATGGACGCAAGGGAGAGACTTTCCACCATCAGCCTTCTCTCTCAAGGGGGGCAACAAGGAAACAACACTGCACTGCAAGCGCGGGAAACATGGTCCCAATTTCGATTTAAAGCTTTCGTGACTGCAGGGATTCATCTTCTTGGTTCTTTCGGTAAAGTCACGTAGAATGGAAATAATAAAATAATAAAAATAAACCATGATAAAATAATTCTCACGACGTTTCACCTGAGGACGGCTGCTTGCGTTGTGGCCGAAACGTCTTGAGAATTATTTTATTATGTTTTATTTTTATTATTTTATTACTTCCCTTCTACGTGACTTTACCGAAAGAACCAAGAATATGGTCCCAATTCTCAAATTCCTCCTTAACCCTAGCAGATGCCCACGTACTGCACAGGTGTCAGAACAATTCTGGCTTTAGCCACTGCCAGGGCAGGGTTGCCACCTCTGTGATAGACATAAAAAAAAAATCACAACACATCATGTGAACAAGACTAGCTAACAATGAATTATGTTTCATGTTCCCAGACAGCTACATCCAGAAGCGGAAGATGCAGGTGGTAAACCTGCTGCGCCGCTCACAAAACGGCGCCAGCCTCGGTTTAGACGGCAAGATGGTTCATCTCACTCGGTGCCACACCCTTTCCCAGCGGCCATGCCAGCGCTCAAACCCGAGGAGCTCCCTAGGAATATAAGCCTCGCGCTGGAGGTCGACCCGTCGCTTCCTGCCTCAGCTGCCAGGGCAACCGACAAGATGCTAGGATCCGGGATGGAAGAACGAGGCGGCTAGGAGTTGCTTGCGTTCGTTGCCCGCTCACCCGCTTATCCTGCACAGCTACCCAGCGTGGGGAAAACCAGTGCCCGGGGTTATCTGGGTACCTTGGCGACCGCTCGGTTGCCATGGGCAACCATCTGCTGATTCAGAGCAGCCCGCAGAGCGGTGCGTGAGGGGTGGCACTGGGCCAAGAGCATGATGTCATACTACGCTATACAGAAAGGTGACCTCATCCAGTAAAGCGGCAAAGGGAGGGAGATATAGGGATGGATGGGGTGGGGGCGAAGTGGAGGGTGGAAAGAAGCATTAACGGGAGACAGGAGTCCGTTGAGGGAATGGATAAATTAAATAAAAAATCAAAACCAATTAGGCCAATCTGTCATGCTTTCAGCCGATAGCACGTGCGCATGGGGGAGGTTTTGGGTTTTCCGAAATGTATCGATTGGGCTTATTTTATTATCGGTATTATTTTTCCTCCCTCTGCCTTCTTTTTGTGTATCGGCAGGCATTCAGTGTGTGGAGAAGGAGCTCTTGTCATACACACTCCTTGCCCGCCGCCGAGCGAATGAGATTTACGCTGCGCAGGGACGGCGCGTCGAAGGACGAGCAGTCGGGAACGGAGAAGGGTGATGATATTTGATCGCGTCCGATGATGATGTGTGATGACGATGATGAGCGAAACCCTGCTACTGCAGTGGTGAACGCCGCTGAAGGGAAAGATTTTGTCGAAGGAATGGCAATTTAAAAATGGGGAAATAAATTGTTAAATGTATTTCAAATATTGCAGAACTAATATTATTTCATCAAAACGAAACCAAATGCATGGTCTTAACATATTAAATAGCTGAACATTTCTGGCATGGATTACATTGTTGGGTAAATATTATCTTCACAGTAGGGAATGATATTGTAGGTGAAATGCAGACAACACGGCATATGTATTCATACGGCGCACACACATGCATATATGTACACGTCTCCGCTAAAAAAACCTTCACGCTCAATATTTTCGCACAACCACTGCAGAGGAGAAACCTGCCCCATAGTGAAATTGACGCCTGGCCCATTCATTAACTTGCAAGGTCACTCCACCAACTAGACCAGTCACAGTCTGACGTGCCACACACCACCAACCGAATCGATGAGCTGAGAACCAGTGCTGCAAAATGGTGTGATTTTTCACACAAATGGGTATTTATTTTTACGGTTGTGACATTTATAAAATAAATTTTCATAAAAATGCGTGCTATATTTGAGGCTCCACTCTGCCAAAACGATTACTTTTGGGCTCTTATTGCCAGAGGTTCGTTAGGGTGCGGTACAACCCAACGAACATTCAACAGCCCTGAGTCGAATCAAACACCCCCTAACTTCCAGCCAACCACTTAGCTCGCAAGTCTTTCCCACTGCACAAACGAGCCGCGACGTGGCCAGCCTGGCTTTGCTCGAGCCGGGTTGTTTTTTCCCACTGCAGAAGCCGAGCAGAGCCATGCCACTGACATCACATGCCATAAACGAGCCAAGATGCATGTAGATGACTTGGTGGACTCACGAAATTCACACGCACGATGAACGCTTCATTAGCCCCGGCTCTGGTGCTACTTGGGTCCAAGTCAGATTCAGGTGTACCGCGAGGCTGGCGCATCAAGGTTTGGTTCCAGGTTGGCATGGCAGTGGAAAAACCATCCGTACCATGAGAGCCCTGCATTGGTTTGGATTAGATGTGCCAGTGGAAACGTTTTCTCCGGCTTCATGGCAAAACGAGCCTAAGATCGAGTGACTGACCTGGCGCGGAAGACGAGCGGGCCGAGGCTCTGGGCGAGCGCCCGTTGGGTGATGCGCCCGCGCGCCGCGTGGCAAGCCCGCGCCAGGTGGCGGAGTAAGTAGCGCAGGGCCAGGCCGTGCTGGATCGGAACGTCCACGCCGCCGCCACCGCCACCGCCTCCCTCCAGCAGGCTCCGCACCATCTCCGCGCAATCGCTCGCGTTGAACGCCTCTGTGTCGCACACACCGAATGGCAGGAGAACACAAATCAGGGATCCACATGCTTTAGCCCTGCAGACTGTCAATGCAGACGATGGGACAGCAACGGCATTGTGGAAGAAAGTGGCGGAAAGTTTCAGAGATATTGGCTGCTAACAAAAATGCACTTGGGCAGGAGACATCACGAATAGGGATGATGGTCAGGGGTTGAGTCTACCAACAGAGGCAGCTTGGACCGGTTCAGATATCACTCGTTATTGATGTTAGCTGTGTCCAGGGATTTACTTCTGGTCACCGATTCATAGGGCAGTGCGTTAACTACTGCGCCACTGCTCCATCCGTATATAATAAAATATTTTATTAATCCATGAAATACTCATGCAGTGTCAATACTCTTTCAGTATGGCCCTGCATTGGAATATTTGGCTAATTTAATAAACATTCGGCTTACAAATATAAAGGTATGACCAGTAGAGTGTGAACGCACACATATCGCATGTATAACAACACGGCCTACCAACTGTACACAGCCACCTGGAATCACGTTGGGGCAGGAAGGAAATCAATGACAAATAACGACAAACACAAAAAAACAAGTACGGCAATAACATTCAAGGAAAGGATTTCCTGCGAAAATTAGGTAAAAAAATGGAAGGTTCCACAAAGCCAAACGGCCCTACGAAATGACTCTAATTGCGGGCGGTTGTTTCGCAGCTTGCGTTAAGCTTAGGGGGCAAGGCTGGGCGACCGGGGAAGCAAGCCCCGGTGGTCTTTTTTCACCGTCGCGTCATTCAAATGAAGAAAACTGGGTACCCACGGTGGGAGGAGCCAGGCCAACAAGGGACGGCACACCGATGAATAATTAACGGTGAGATTTTGGCTTCGTCCCCCATGGAATTGAAGCCGAGTTTTCGGCCACGTGGCGATTGGCGCCGGGGGGGTATCAGGAGAAGGGGGGCTCTCTCTCTCCTCTCACATGCCAGCTTCTCCTCTAGCTTATAAGATAGCCCCACATTTCTGATTCGCTAAATTGTGTCAAAAAGGCACGCAACCTTTGCCAGCTGCCGGGGTAGACAATTTTCCAGCAACACGTAAACCGTCACGCGTTAAGGCGACTCCTTTGAAAAGAAAATGTACATCGCAACAAAGTTGTGGAATGAATCGACTACTCGGGGGGACTTTGGGTCACTATGGCTTTAGAGAGCACACGTGACAATACAAAAAAGAGACACTTAATTTTTCAGTTCATGTACTTGCAAAAATTAAGTGCACGTATTTGTATTGACCCGTTTGTCAATCCACTGCTGAATGAGGGCCCTCCCCATGCCACGCGGGCCGTGTGGGGTTAATTGACCATGTTTCACCACTCTAGCCAGTAATTAGGAAGAGTACAGATGTGGGAGTGAAGAAGTCTGGATTTTGCTTGCATTGCGCCTTTTGTTCCCTGCATCCCTGCAGCCTGTAACATCTGTTTTCTGTACAGCGCTTATCCACCGAAGCACTACTCAGGCTCAACAGTGCTTCGAATCCAAGACCTGGATGACAGCGGGCGAATTCCGGGTGAATTGGTCATAGGCTTTTGGTTATTATAGAGTCGTAATAACTCACAAGGAATGTGCTGAGCATCACGGCGGTTGCTTTTATTATTTTCAACGTGCAGTCGCGATCGTGTTACCGCCTTGGCGACTGTAGTGACGAGCGGCAACGAAAATGATCACACAAACGCCACGGCAATGGATGGACCCGGTGCCTGCCATGAGCCACAACTCCGGCAGGAACGACTTCATCGAGCTTGAGCTATATAGTTGTTACGTGTGTATGCTCAACTTCTTTGTCACCGTACGCAGCCGACCGTGCTAATAAAGTCATGATAACCTCAGGTTATAAGAGTTGCGCGTTTTTAAATAAACTTACATCATGGCCAGCTAAGACATTTTGGCCAGTGCGGAAGAGTTTTCTGAATACCCTCGGGAGGGTGTCTTTGGAGTTCCTTCTTTCCAAGGCCTTCCGTGAACATAGGCACGAGCAAACAATTGCATGGCTACACCTTTACTTTTGTTTGTGCCGAGAACAAGCCAAAGTTTCTGCTTCTCTGATATCAGCTGTATAGTTGGCACCGACTGCAGCCCCTGCGCATCATGTGACTCGTCAGTACTAGCCACGGCACGGCAGCACCAGATGCTGTGCATCACTTTCACCGTGTGCTGCCAAGCGGTGGCGGATGTCAGAAAAATAATAAAATGATAGTAGGGATAGATAACAAAATGGTATCGGGTATTGAGGCACGGGTTGAGTTTCGGCCCTGAAAACAAAATACTGGCTCATGAAGAAAGAGATAAAGTAACTCGAAAAAACACGGAGAAGATGTCATCTGTGAGTGTATTCGTGCCAATACTGGCAGCACTGGAGTTCTAGGCCACGGTTAAAATCCACAGCCAATGGTATCCAAGCTGGTCATGGGCACAACCCTTCACAACGTTGTACCGACTGGCTTCGTGAGGTATCATCAAAAATGCTGATCACATACACGGTATGAAAACACCTTCATCCAGCAGTGGATTGACAAAAAACCATACATTATTATTGTTACATTCTTGGATTCAGAATAGTTTGCTGGTGGAGGCAGCAGTAACATTGTGGAGACAAATCACCATTGTTACATTTGCCCATTTAAAGAATAACAATGGTACTGTACGCTGCTTTTACTGCATACAGCAGTAGATAGACAATGGGATGCAAAAGTAGAATCATAAAACAATTAAATAATATTCATTTTGAAATTATTGACGAGGTGGTTGAACCCTCCTTTGTACCCTGTTCCGGATGCACAGATGGAAGTGAATTGTGGGTGACGGATCCTAGGGGAGAGATAAGTATCACGATGGTCCCTGTCCCGTGCCCGCGGAGATTTGCATACATCACGAATAACGGGCGGACCGACCTGTCGTATTGAAGATGACGTCGCTGACGGAGGTGGGCACAAGTGGGTTGGGCAGCTCCTGCAGGTAGCACTTCAGTGCGTCGCCCACGGCGTTCACATCCAGCTGGTCCACGTCCACCGCACTCAGGTCTGAGAGGCCGACAAAGCGCAAGGAGAGACAACGTCATGGTCGCGATGGAGATCAAGGTCACGGGCCTCACAATGAGCTGCCCGAGCAAGCACTTCTCTCTGCCGGCCTGCGCCTTGATACTGCGAATTCACGAAGTTTGACTCGGGTGATCCTCCCATGTTCATTGATACAGGCGGGAGGAAGAGGCTTGTAGTTCAATATCTCTTTTGGCTGTTGTGTTTTTGTTGCAAGCCATTATAACTGTATAAAAACGGCACGAATAATTTTAAGTATATCTAAAAAATCTACACTCGCACACAGTTTTGCATTCAGTAGCCTCGAAACACTTACAAGATAATGTATGTGACGATGATTGATAAGTATAAGAACAATTTCTAAAATACGGTACAAGTGAAAATAAAATGAATATAAACGCGTTAACCAGATTAATTTTTTTCTAAAGAAATGCTGTTCACCCCAACGGAAATGAAATTCCCTGCCGTTTTGGCACGCGGTTATTTTCCTTGGGCCTTCCATCGGATCCTGTGGCCTAGCAGGTCTCGCAAACTCACGCCAACCCTGGCCAATAACGGCAGGGCCTACTTCTTGCCTTCCCGCCATGGGAATACCTGCGAGTATGTTTCTAAACTAAAAAAAAACCAGCATCCGCAACACTCCCAATGCACATGCCTTCAACAGGAAGAGCAGGAATGTGGCATCACAGTCATGTTATCCTTGACCTCCGCTATCAAACTTTTGCCACGTAATTCACGGAGATCACAAAACATGTAACGGAAAAGGCGTGCCTTGCTATCTCCTGCGTTTCATTTGGGACAGGTGGCGATAACGGACTCCTTAATGGGCTCCTGCTCCGCTTTTAAGAAAATCAATTGATAATCTGGATTTAGCTGTTCAATAAATAGCAAGTGCCGTGTCCAGTTAATTTCCGTTAATGCTTCACAATTTGAATGTATAAAGCGCCTACGTGTGACCGTGTCGCATGCACAGAGACACGAGGAGGAGGGCATGCTGATCAGGAGGACTAGCGCGGAAAAATGGGAGTTTATTGTAGAATTGATTATGTAATCGAATTGATTGAATTGATCTTTACGCATCGCTCGCAATGCTTGAGAATTGCTTATTTTCAATTTGTATCTGTTGTAATCGCGTTCGGAAGTTACGTTACGAGCAAAATCACTTGGAAGTTACATCACGTTTTGACTGTTTTTGGGCTGTACCTTTGGCGTTGTTCATCATGATGCCTGACGCTTTGCTGTATAAGCCAGAAGCTTCTTCTTAAACTGAACAACACACGGTGCTAAAAACTCATTTATTTAGGAACTGCTATTTGTGTTTAGTTTGTTGCCCTTCCCCAGCACCTCCGATTAGCATGGTTGTTCTATGTACGGTGTGAAAGAAGTTCTACACACGCATGTACTTGCGACTCGAAAACACACCGCAGCGCTACTCTGCTTCAGCGTTGCCCTCGCGTATGAATTACCCAGGCCTTGGCTACCATATCAACTGACTCGACTAATTCCCCCCACCCCGTCCATTCCCTTTGCTATGTTGCGCCACTTCGCGATTAAAGGGAAAGAGTTAAGAAGGTTTTTTTTTCTCTTTTTGCAGAACCTCACACGACACCTGAGCACAGGTACAAGAGGGGATTGATGGGGGGGGGGGGGGCAGGTTAAGCTGCCTGAAATATCTTGGCAGCGGGCGGCTTAATTATTTATTAAAAGACTATGTATAATTAAAAGTGCGGGGTGAACGGGCGTATTCTTGAGGGCAACGTGAGACTACGACCGTGTGCCGATGCTCAATGCATTCATTTATAATATCTTCCCCGTCCCACATCCAGCCCGTTATCACCGATAACCGCCACAGTATACCCATTGTGCCATTTCGCACTGCAACGTGCAGGTGAGTTTGCGCAATTTATAACAAAAAAAAAACTCGTTACTACGCCAACACTACAGTCTACCGGAGCGCTTTGAATTACCGCTCCCCTTAACTAGCACCCGTTTTACCAAACTCAAACTCTTATCATGTAGATTAAATGTGTTTTTTTTTTGTACGTGGATGCCGTGTTGCTCGAACTGTCCGACCCCTTGTGATTGAGTTTCATTAGGGCGCCCAAAGTTAGCCCAGGCATCTCCTCCCCAAGCCATTTTCGTCCGCTCGAAGGACAGGAATTGCAATCCTGCTCGGCAACAGAACTCTCTCCCCTATTCACACAATGTCCTTGCCACTCACGGTAACCAAAGGCTTGGGTTTTTTCTTTCTTTCTTCGCATTTGGTGCCGGAGATGAATAATTGCCATTTTAATTATTTAAATTTGAGCATGACATTCGTGCTACAGACTCAATCATGGTGACAATTTTATAGATGGTGGTTGGACTGCATCGTAACCATTTATATACGACACGCTGTAACAGTTATTTTATTGATTTTTTTCTGGCATGCATTAAGTCCATTATTAATTTGTAAAACATACTTTGCTTCTTGCAATCGCAGTCTTCAAGGCACTGCACTCTAATATTCACACAGATTACTCTATAACCGCTCGGCACGTGTTTTTTTATTGTGGTATTTTTGACAAATTTTAAATTCAAACAATATACCCCACAATTCTCAGCTGTCAGTAAGAAATATTTGATTTTATGCAGTTGCATAGCCAACATAAAACTGTTATAAATTATTTGCCGCTCCTTTGACAAATTCTGGCATTTCAAGTAAACAGTCGCATGCTCCCACGCGACCGTACACGCGCACCAAACTGTGAAACAAGACCACGTGTGCTTTGTTCCTCCAAACATTTGGCCCACAATTATTTTTGAAAGCGGCGCGGTCGAGAGTCCAGGAACATGTGGCCCGTATGGCCCTCGGAGGCCCTAATGAGCCTCAGCTTCCATAACATCACGCTGATAAATTGTGCATGCGGCCGAGCGGCATGCAAAAGTAATGGGGAGATGGGAGGCGACTACAAGCCAAAAATCGTCCCGTAAAAAACATGTGACTGTGCTAGACTGGCCAAGTGCTGTAAAGAGATAAATAAAAAAATGTAAGAGGACAGTACACACCTCTTACACCAATGCACAGGTATGCCCACAGCCACCCAGTACAACAAAGGAGATAAAAAAAGGTAATGGCCGTAGAATTTGGGATTAAAGAATGGTCCAAAAAAAGCAGCGCTGTGCATGATGGAGTGCTGCACGAATTGGCGGTGACTCATTAAAGAACATTCAGGGATTCCTCAGGCATAATCCAGACATTGTAATCCCCGGCTCCCAGCGTTCGGCAGTGCAGCGGCAACTGCCATGCCTGGCACAGAGCCAGAGCGAACTGAAATAACCCTGCAAAGCTCGCCTGTTCCTTATCCACCAATCCCAGCACAAAAGTGCCCATGTGCTTCCAGAAATAAAAAAATATATAGATATAAAAAATAAAGACACACACTGGGTTTTAAGGATAACAGGCACGCGCAATGAATATTTGTTTCTGCGGTTTTCTTTCGTGACGTAAACGGTACGAGGACGCAAGTTGCGGTGGGGCTGTTAAGTGCGGCAATGGAAAGAAAAATCCACACCCACCTACGCATTTTTTACAAATTCAAATAAAAATCGCAAAAACCTGTGAATGGTAGCAGTGGGATGTAAATGTGCCTGTTCTGTCATAGGCGAGGAATGTAAATAAATGCAAATCAAAACAAATAAAAAAGCTAATATGTCCACCATAATTAACTTGTCAAAATTACCACCAAACGGTTATTATAATACCACCACAAATGGGGCGTTCTTTCTCGAAAAAGTTTGCAATCTCATATTTACAGGAATAAAACAGATTGTTAGCCAGCATATCATTATGAAAAATAATATTTTTTTAATTGCTAATTTACTTGAGACCATTCCTACATTTGGAGACTTTTTATGGCACCCTTATGCGACAAAAAGAAAGAATCGATACAAACCCAATAAGGGTAAGCATGAGTAATTCGGCACTCTCTCGGGCGGACATCAGAGGCTTTTTAAAATTCGATTACCAATTTTATGGCTATTCGTTTAAGCCTGCTTTTCACGCACGCACCGCACGGCTGAAAGGTGGTGGTGGGAATTATCACCGCTGACCCGGTCAGTCTTATCAGGGCCACCAAGGCCCCGGGCACAGTCATCTTGGGCCCATAGATCAGCCAGCCTACGACAGCGCAGGTCTGGCCAGGAATATCAGCACTCCTCCGCCCGCTCAGAGAACCATTCATCCTCCCCCTCCTCCTCTTCTCTGGGTCATGACCGACTGCTGGCACTGCAATCGCCCGCCCCCGCCCGCCCCCACGTCAGCACGCAATGCCTTTGTGCGTACGTGTGATCAGAGTTCAATTCCTGGCCATGGGTAACATCAGTGGCGAGCGATATCCGACTGAACCAACCCTGGCCACCCCCCCCCTCAAGTTGACTTAACCTTAAACAAGTACCCACTGCACCTTCGCGACAACCTTTGTGCTATAATCTCCAATGCCCTTCTAATTTCAATTGGTTTTGTCTCTTCTCAACACGTGATCAAACCCATCTAACTCCAGTCTCTCTGGCATTAGAGTCCACGAATAACCTATGTCAAGGCTCTAACCTATTAATTCCTTCTCCTTTCTCTTTGAGATATATTCCCAACATCCACTTTGCACGGACTATTAATAGTGTTAGGTATTAATTTGTGCGTGGGACTACACATGGCGGGTTGCATACGATTTTGTGAAGCACTTTCCGGTGGTCCTCCTCTAAAGGGCAAGGAACTATGATCTCAGAGATTAAAATCTGCGCACAGGCGATGCGGGCGCAGCCTCAGTTGAGCACAGACTGGCTGCCGTGTGTGTGTGAGGATGTGCGCGCAAAAGAGCACAGACATTGTTCAGACAAAGCCTCAACGAGCGAGAGACATTCGGGGCTCTGTCACGTGAGCGCCGTTCGCAGGCAAGCACCATGGTCGACTCGGGGTGTCTGCTCAAGTGAGGCCTCAGGGGCCAATA